TGGTCCGCAGCCACTCAGACCCAAGTAAACACACAGAGGTTTATATTAATTAAAACTGCTCAGCCATTAGCTCAGGCTCACTACTGACTAGCTCTTGCACTTATACACAGCCTATTTCTGTTAATCTATATGTCATCACGTTTTCTGTGGCTTTACCTGTATGCCATTACATGCTGCTCCCTGGACGGTAAGCTGGCATCTCCTGACTCAGCCTTCCTCTTCCCAGAATTCTCCTTGTCTGCTTATCCCACCTATACTTCCTGCCCGGCTATTGACCAATCAGCATTTTATTAAACCAGTGTACAAAAGCATTATCCTACAGCAATTCCATGTACTGGACTGTGCAGACTGAACTAACACGTCCTATGTTTATTTGAGAAAAACAAGGGGAAATTACTGCAGTGGGGCTTCGTTCTGTCTGTGTCAGTGTGTCATGTTACCCTCGGGGCAGCACCTGGGAAGGTCCTACTGAGTCTTGCTGTGGCCTAGAATGTTCTAGACTTTGAACCTTGAAACCATCAACTCCTTGATTTTTCTTATTTTAAAATATTTTGGAAATTTTACTTTCACAGAATTTCAGTGGCCAGATTAAAATACTGACTTGATCTGGGATGGCTGGAAAAACTCATCCTGAGCCAAGAGACAGTGTAACCTCTTTGTCAATGACTCCTAAAAGGAGGCTTGGGGCTGTTGAGGAGACACGAGTCTTTTGTTCCAGTGTTTTGCTGTCAAAAAGGTTTGAAAAGGGGATGAGATTCTGAGTCCAGTCATTTTATTTTTAAATGCTTTGGGTTCAGAGAAGGAGACGGATCAAACTGGAACTTTGCAAAGAAAAAAAAAAATCTTTTGGTTCTGAAAGAAAGTCGAGTAAGAAAAGACAATTGCTGCCTTGTGCTAAAACCTACTGCACAGGAAATGTACTGGGGTAATTGCTCACAGACCCCTGCTCCTGCCCACCTTCAAAGGAGAGACAGAAAACTGAAAGTTGCAGGAATTATGTAGCATAATGTGCTGGCTGCCTCCCTCCATCATCGGATGACAGCTTTTACATTGCTTACTCTCTGTAATAAAGACACTGAACTCTACTCTATATCTGCTAAGTTTTCTCCAATATGCTTTTGGTATTTTCCAGGTTTAGTTATGACATTTTTATATTTCAAAAAGTTCTGTGTGGTATTGGAGACTAAAGCCAACACCCTGTGCGTGCTCTCTACATCTCTAACTCTTTGTAAACAGCTTTTGAATGTTTGTAGAATTTTCCTAGTTCAAATATATTCCTTTGAGATATCTTTGACATATCTTCACTATATTTCATATATGGTTAATTTATAATAAGTAATTTTTTTTTAATTTTTTTTCGAGACAGGGTTTCTCTGTGTAGTTTTGGTGCCTGTCCTGGGTCTCAATCTGTAGACCAGGCTGGCCTCAAACTCATAGAGATCCACCTGGCTCTGCCTCCCAAGTGCTGGGATTAAAGGCATGTGCCACCATTGCCTGGCATAATAAGTAAATTATGCTATTATTACTAACACTCATTTTACTCTTGGTAAACATAAATGTTTTTAACTACCATTTAAGTACACCAATTTAAATGCTATACTTTAAATGTCTGTATTAGAGGGTCTGGTGTGATAGCTCAGCCATATAGTGCCTGCTGCACAAGGGGAGAACTTGGAATTGGATTTCCAGCTCTCTTGTAAATTCTGTCTCAGAAACTTAGGTGATCCAGGCCCCATCTCCTTATCCAGAGGAGACCTCTCACATGGGCCCTTCCTCTCAAGAACCAATGAAATTTGTGAAGTAAATATCCTTAAGTCCAATAATGGCCAAGAGGGAGCCATTTGTAGAAATGTGGATGCAATCTGTACATATGAGCTGAGATACCCAAACACATTTTGTATGGGGAAGAATGAGAATGAGAAAAGAAGTCACAAAAGGAAGTGAGGACTGGCGGCACTGTGTGAACATCTGAAAGAGCTATATGAAGGGTATACTAGTCAAGGCAAGCAGACTAAAGATATTTTATTTGTAATGTGTTGATTTGAAGCATAACTTGAGAGCATTTGAACAGCAGAGGAAGTGGCCATTCGTTTGTATCCTTGGACTGAGCTCCACCAATTTAGAAGTGGACTTGACCTACAGAGAATTGTAAAGCAAAGTAACAGAGAAAGTACTTGGTAGCATCTGAGAGAAAGAGAAAGAAAGCAGTGTGAAATATTGGTCAGGCAAGACATGAAAACCCAAAGGGTCCTCTGCTCACATTAGGTATGTCCAGAACTTAGCTCATGGCATATTGGTAAGAAAAATAAAATCTAGAGTGCATAGCAAGTCCAAGGTCTGGAACTCTTAGAGAAGAAAACAAGCTTGAGGAGAATCCTAGACTGAAGTCTCAGTGGCATCTAGGCGTATTCACCAAACAGGAAGGAGTAGGAGAGAAGCCAATCCCCCACCAAGAGTCAGAGATCCTTTTCTGACTCTGAAAGTGCCGTTCACGATACTTACCACATGAGCAGTGTCCTCACGTTTACACAATGTCACAGCCCCACAAGGAGTTAAGAATGATGTTTCTATGTTTCCACAAATAAAGGACGAGCCCTACAAGTGACAGAAATGTCAGCTTCTCACCTCATGCTTGCTGAATACTAATAGCCTGTTACTACAAGTCCCCAACCATGGTAAGAATGGCCAGCTAGATGCATGGAGTTAAAACAATGTCATGCCAACCAGATCTACTTGCCACAAGACCATCAGTAAATCCTCAAAGGACTTCACAATAATAGAAGGACCAACTGGGAAAAAGATAATTTGACATTCTGTCTAGTCTGTTCCATTCCCAGGGAAATGAAGCAGGATCTATCCTCTCTAAGTAATGTTCAAATCAAGAACATGTAAGTCTGCAGAGAACGCTTTACATACAAGAAACCCTCAAGTCAGAATGTGCATGGTAAGCAAACAAACAAGAACAACAAAAAAACCCTTGAAACTATTTCTCAGAAATCCCTAGGTGTTGTGGAATGGCTGTCAGAGTAATTGAAGGATAGATTTTGGGATCAGACAAACAGGTTTCTGGCTGGTAAGTCACAAAGAATAAAGCTACGGTAAGCAAAAACAATGGTAGTGGTGGGAGTGGTGGTGATGGCGATGATAGCGGTAGTGGTGATGTGATGTTGATGGTGGTGGTGGCGGTGGCGGTGGCGGTGGCGGTGGTGGTGGTGATGATGATGATATAGTGGTGATGGTGATGTGATGTTGATGGTGGTGATGGTAATGGTGATGGTGGTGGTGGTGACGATGATGATAATAGTGTTAGTAGTGATGGTGTGATGTTGATGGTAGTGATGGTAATGGTGATGATGGTGGTGGCAGCATTGGTGATATAATGTTTATAGAGGGACTCTCAGAATTAAAAGGAGAGACTGGCCAATCATATTTCAAAATATAAAGTTTATAGTTCACCAGAGGATCTCATTATAAAAACATCTTCAGGAAATCAAAGGAATGAATGAGTTTCATTGATCTTCTGAATTTCCAAATTCAGGAAAGGAGCTTTTGATCAATGAGTCTCATCAGGACCAGTCATATGTTTAGTCCTGCTCTGCAAAACCAGGACACATAGACAAACAGTCCTACAAAGCTGCATCAAACACAGGAAGTAGAAAATTCCACCCCGTCAAAAATAAAACAAACAGATTACTGTAAGAGCTGGGATGGATTCAAGGCAACTAAAAACGAGTAAAGGTCTCTGTGATGACTGTCATCTGTGTGCGTTCAGCAGCTCACTTATGCACTTACATTTCCTGATGAAATATGACTGCAGGGGTCAGAGAACTTGGCCTTGTGTACACACTGACATATCACAGTTGGCTCAAATGAAACCCGGCACATGCAGGACACTTAATATTTGTTGAAAGAATGAATCTAAGACTCAGCTCCTACATCTGAGACTGAGGAGTCTTGTAGACATGTGCAAAATGTCTGGCAGAGGACTATAACAACAGATGTTTGAAAACTCAGATTTATAAGGGCTGCTACAGTACAGCTCATTGGTAGAGTGCTTGTCTGGTATATATGATACCCAGGGTTTGATTATACATAAAGATCCCAATTCTAGTTATTGTTTTTATGGAATTAAGTGTTGCTAGAATCATTCATTATAGACAAAGTTGAAATTTTTCCATTATTAAGAAGACATCCAGGTTACTCCATGAATTCCCAATGAAGAATAACAGTTACTGAGTTCAATGAAGACCATTACTTAATTCTGAGACAAGATAAATACTTTGGCCAGTGATACAGTAATAGAAACAGAAATGGAAATGTTAATCTTAAAAGGCTCACATGTCCTTGGGGAGCCTGGCAGCCTGAGAGTGGCACCAATGTATCGTTCACTCCAAACCCCCAAATCTAATAACCTGATTATCTCCGGGCTCTCAATAACAGTCATTCTTTTCATTTCTTTCAGGCTCGGTTGATTTCTTCATGCTTAACCCATAGCACATCTCCCAACGATCTATATCGGTCTCTGCAAGCCCCGTTACAGCCCAACCCCACTTCTCTCATGCTGCCTTTCTGCCTCTCTTGAAAAGACAACAACCATGAATTCTGAGTAAAGAAGAGAAGGAAACGGAGGGAAAACATAAATGGCATTCACCCATGTATCCCTCCTTTCTTCTGATTCCACTGAGATGTTTTTCTCCATGTCCAACAGCAGACTTTCTGCGCATGCTCCAAATCAGACTGGCCCCCTGTGTTGTCTCAGGCCTCTCGTCAGCCATCATCTCTTCTTCATGGAGTCCTCACTGCTCACCTGCCCCTCCTTTACAGTTTCCTCCTTCTCAGACTACAAACGAGTTCACCATTCCCTTTCCAAAAACTATTCACATAGCTTTACTCTCTCTGACGGCCCCTCTGCCCTTGCTGTCCTAACAGACTGCTCTGAGTCTCTCCATCTCCTGTCCCAGCCACCCTTCGGTCCCGTGAAGCTGTCTGGGCCCTCACACCTGTTCTGAAGCTGCTGAGGTCAAGTCTGCAGTAGTCTGCCGGGAGCGGGGTGCAGGCCGGCCCCTCCGATACTGCCACCCCAGTGTCTCTCAGTTATCCGACTGCTGGATTCCAATAGGCTTCTCCAGGTTGTTCCCTTAGAGAGGCGATGTTGAGTACCTGTCAGTCACTGTCCTCGGGGCCAGAAGCGTCATAGTGAGATCTAAATATAATGCAATATCCGGGCTTGAATTCTGAAACCGTGAAAAGACGATCAGTGGGAAATGGGAAAAGTCGGTTCAGTTAATGGTGTCGGACTGATGTAAATGCTTAGTTTTAGCATTACATGTCTCACGGTTGTGTTAAAGTGTAACCGGGGGATCGGAGGGAAGGGCGAATGAGAATTCTCTTCAATGGCTTTGCTGTTTCCCCATAAACATAAAATTATACCAAGACAAGAGTTCCAAAAGTGAATGAAGTGGGTTCTCCGGCATTCCGTTTTTATTACGGCCACAGTTCCAGGACAAATGAGGAAGGTGACATAAGCGGGCTTTCCTCAGCCCTTCACCCCATCACGAGTCGTCATGTTTGGAGTGCCTGTGCCAGGTTCCGTGAGGAGCACCTCTGGAGAGTGGGATGGAAGCTTCTCCAAACCAGGGGCTTTACAAATTCCCAGACAAAGCGTTTTGAAGCTACGGGAGGGGTCTAGTTGATAGAAGCCAGCTCTAGCTAAATCATTTCACTTTCTAAGAAACTGACTATAAATAAATTACCTGCGTTCTTCGTTCTCCGCACGGCAAACAGTCCAGGGTTTGAGAGGACAGCAGGCTAAACAGAGGCGATTATTTTCAGGTTTCTCACTGTCTGGCTGCCAGGGTTCCTGGAAATGGCACTCTTGATGAGGCTTTTGCTTTGTTTTCTGGGTTTCTTTTTTTTCTGAAAATGACTTTGATGTGGCTGAAAATTTATTCTCTCCTGAGTGCAGGCAGAGCACCAATTAACCCACACAGAGTGTCCTCACTGGCCCCCCTGCTGGGAGTTTATTGCATTTATCATGTGGTTCATACGCCCATTATCCCACCTCTCCTATGCTTGCCTCCTGTGGACTCAAACCAATTTCTTAAGAGGCTTTCTGCCCTCTCTGGGTCTTTTAAGTATCTCTGTTTTCCAAGGTTCTTTCTTACAAGTGATATCATCAGAATGCAGGGAAAAGATGGGCAGGGAGAACTGTGATTCTGGGCAGTTGATGGAGCCAGATTGCAGTGATTTTATCCACTTTTAATGGCATATTCTGAACCTATAATAAGAACAAAAATGAACAGACAAGGTGTGGGCCTCGGGACCTGAGATGTTGGAGGAGACACTATGGCACACAGGACAGGAAGGCGGAAGGCGGTGAAGGCTGGTCGTTTTTAGGTGACAACATTAAAGAATGGCTTCATACAAAAAGGCTCTGATCTTGGGAATTGGAGGCTGTGGCTCCAACACCGACTCAATCTGCCGGTTGGAAAAAGAACAAAGAAAGCTGAAGAAAAGTCATTTCGATGTAGAAGTCAGCACTGTGCCAAACCAGGAAGGCTCTGAGCTGCCAACACTCACTCCTTCCTACTGTTCCACGGTGCTGACCTGGCCTCTCCTCTTGCCATGTAAGAACTCAGGAATCTTTTTTAAGTGTTTTTCATTAAATAACCATTCCTTGCCACACAGCAACACCCGATAAAGAAGGCAGGTCAGTGGAGGTTGTAGCTGAGTAGACACTTTCCCTGCCCCCAGCTCCTGCTGCCGATGGGGAAAATGGAGAAAACATATTTGTGGGAAATTAGTAACCTCAGCAATGGAGGGAGAGCGAAGAAAGTTGATGCCTTGGATCCAAATTCCTTTCTTCAGTCCTCTTCCCTGCTGTCTAAACTATAGATTTTAAATATGCAGGGCATTTCCACTTAGTCGGCCAACAGGCACTTGGACCTCAGCATGCATACAGAAAACGCCACTGTATTCCAGTGTCCACAATGCGCCCCCCCCTTTTAAAAAGAGAACCCCGGAAGACAAAGCCACCTGCTCCAGTGTGGGTCTTTAGGGTCCTCCAAAGACCCCGGTGTTAAATGCTTCATCTGCGAATTTGTGCTATTGGGAAATGCAAGAGCCTGTGGGGTGGGCAGGCGTCTCTAGGTCTTTGGAGCAGAGTCTGGGGCTCTGCCTTTTCCTCTTTTGCTTTTTGCTCCCTGATGATAAAGTCTGTGCTTTTCTCTGCCTCCTCTTCCTGCTCTGAGGCACTAGGTCCCCATTACCACAGGCCCCAGAGCAGCAGGGCCAAAGCCGTGAGCCAGGGTAAGACTTTTCCTTTGGTATCCGATGGCTCCCTCTTTATTCCCAGTTCCTGTCCATTTTGCCACCTGTGATGAGTCTCTTTCCTCTCTTCTTCACTGACAATGCCTATACCCACCTTCTCCTGCTTGGATGGCTTCATGTGTGCATTTCTGGCTTCTAGCCTTGTCCACACCAATCGTCATCCTAGGCATAGAGAAGACCACCTACCTCTACTTGGAAACCTCAACAGCCCCCTTCTCTAAGAAGATCAAACCCAAACTCTAGGAAGACACTCCAAGCTCTTCCTGATGTGACCCCAAGCCCCTGAGCTGATCTCTTGTGTGGCTCTGACATGGCACACTGTCATACTTTCTGTGTCTTTGAAAATATCATCTCCTCTACAGGGTATTTCTTTACACTCCTTTGTCTTCCTATGGGGAAAAAGATTTTCTTAAAACCTATCTTAGACACCATCTTCTCTGAAACTTTTCCTCAAGCTTATCTCTCTAGTGGACAGCCAGTCCTTTTTGTATATTAATTGTGTTTATCCTTTACCTCTGTGCATCCTTCATTAGGCCAGTAAATTCATAGAAAGCAGAATTTGATCATAAGCATTTCTGACCAACTATGGGATTCGGTGTAAAACAAATGGATGGATGGATGGATGGATGGATGGATGGATGGATGGATGGATGGATGGATGGATAGATGGATGATCAGAGGCATAGATGATGAGTGAAAGGATGATGATGAATGTATGGATGATGGATTCAATAATGAAAGAATGTCTGAAAACAGCACAGACATAGTTGTCCTGGTCCCTCTTATAAGTTATTTTGAAACACAGTCATCTACTTGGAGCACAACCTAGGAGACATTTCCAATGTGTGTAAAATTTAAAAAAAAAATGGGAGATGAAGACAAATAACACAACTATGATCATCTTCAAACATTCTGGAACTATTACTTGGGCTACACCCCGTTTGTTTCCTCATAAAGACATTTCTTCCTTTTGGAAAAAAAGGAGATTGGAAAATAGCAAAGCCCTCACTAAGAATATCTGTGTTGTTCAACCCCAAACACAAAGTGGGATGGGACAGGAAGGAGCATAGGCTGTGTTCCTGGGGGTCCACAGGAAGATAAAAGACCCCTGGGAAGGGGTTTAATCTGGAAACCTCAGCGTTGCACAATGAAAGCCTTAAAAACATTACCAGCGCCTTGTTTTGTTTTATTCACAAATTTGGGATTCAAAATTAAAGAATTATCTGAGCTCATGAGGCTATTTGGTAGCAGAATGATGAGTTCATTGCATAGAATATATATATTTATATTTATATGCATATATTCTACTGAAAGCCATTTTGGAAATTAGCAATGAGTTTCAGGGGAAACTCATTTTTTTTAAATATTCTATTCAAAACTCCCAATACACCATGCAGGATATCTCCCAACAGTCTGTGTGGGTGGACTGCAGCATCAGTAAAATTGCATTTAGAATTGCTCACTCTAATATCAGGTGGGTTTGGGCATGACTGCATGTTTGGTGGTGTGGTGTAACCAGGATTATTTACAAAAAAAATCAGGAGCTTTTTTTATTAAATCCCATCATGTAAAAGGGAACACACAGTGCACATGAGTAAGCCACATACTGGGTAAGAAATAAAGGAAGATGTCATATTCCATGTGTTATAGCATGGTTTATTCCACTCAAGTTTTCTTCATCATAACCCTTTCTCCTATGGGCTTGTGCTGGAGCCCCAAGGATAGTAAACGGACCTATAAAAGGGCTGAATCGGTATGATGAGGCATGGTCCAAAGGGATGGAAAGAGAACAAAAGATATATTCTGGGGCCTGGGAGATGCACAGAGTTTAGGGTGCTCACTGTGCTAGCCGAAGGACCTGGCTTTGGATGCCCAGTTCCCACACAAAAGATGAGCATGGCAGTGTACATCTGTACAGGGTCGGAGGAGAGAGGGCTGAAGATAAGTGAACCCTGAAGGCTCGCTATCCTGCCAGTACAGCTGAAATGGCAAACACCAGGTTCTCCGAGAGTACTTCTCTCAAAAACAATAAGATGAAAGCAGCAAAGGAAGATGTTGGCATCAACCTCTGCACAGAGCCAGGCTGCTGAATGAGCTGTTAGCACAGGCTGTGCCTCCCAAAGGGGACAAACAGCTGGCTAAAGTCTGTAGCATCCACCCATCTCTGCACAATTTGCTATCTGCATATTCATAATTTTTCCCTTTTAGGGGACTTTTCCATATTCTAGCTCACACATGATAATGAAAACATAAGCATTCTGCATAACTGGAAGGTGGCCTTTCTCTTTCTAAGCCTTAAAGGAGCTCTTGTAGGACTACTGTGGTGCAGTGACCATTTCCAAGGATTAGCAGCTGGTGACATAAAACAGTCATTGTGGTTGAGGGAGAAACAGCACCTCTCTCAGACTGGCCTCCAAGTCACTATGTAACCCAGGCTGGTCTCCTGCTTCCCCCTCCTGACTGAGCATCTCAAGTTCTGGGCTTAGAGGCATGTGCTACCATGCCTACCAAGTGTCTTTTAAAGGCTGTGTCTACCAGATGGCTTCATTCTTTCCTATGACTGAGGCTGGCATTGCCACACTGAGTCACTACAGGAGTCCGGGTAGCTCAGCCACTTGAGCACAATGCGGTTTCCTCCAGGCGGCTGGAGAGCTGGGGCCCACACTCCCACCGAAAGCTTGCAACCCAACAACCTTGCAACTGAGATACTGCCTAGAAGGCTTGCCTATAAAGGGGACTACATCCATTGGAAACTAGTAAAGACTTAAGGACCAAAAGATAAATAACAAATGCAAGCAGCCTGCGAAAATCT